TTCTTTTCGAACAACATCCAAGACTGAATCGACTAATTCAGCACCTTCTGTATAGTGACCTTTTGCCCAATTGTTACCAGCACCAGATTGACCTATTTAGAAATAAAAAAAAATATAATGAGAAAATAATTAGATGTGACACGAATATTCTAAGTTGTCTTCCAACGTAATATTCACGTACCGAAGACAAAATTATCAGGTCGAAAGAGTTGACCAAATGGGCCACTACGAACTGAATCCATTGTGCCTGGTTCAAGATCAACAAGAACAGCACGAGGAACATATTTGCCACCTAAAATAAAATAAACATTTAAAAACAATAATCATTTTTGAGATAATATATTTACCAGCTGCTTCATTGTAGTAGACGTTGATACGTTCAAGTTGAAGATCAGAATCACCATGATATGTACCAGTTGGATCAATTCCATGTTCGTCCGAAATAACTTCCCAAAACTAGAAAAATTTTATTTATTTACACTGAAATAAGTTTCTCATATTTTGTTTACTTTAGCGCCAATTTGATTGCCGCATTGTCCAGCTTGAATATGAACGATTTCACGCATCTTTTTATTGTTAAACTGAAGGCTTCAAAACTAGTCGACCTGTAACGATATGTAATCAGAAAAGAATTATACTATTTTAACAACCACCGATGGCGCACGCAAATAAATCGGTTAAGAGAGAGTTGTTAGTGCGCTTAGTCAGATAAGAATAAAAAAACGCAAAAAGAAAAAGAGAAATAACATAGAATAGAGCCTCTTGTGTTTGCCGTCGTCAGTACGAACAACTCGTAACCATCGTTCTTTTTTTTTTCAGTCCGACAAACAAATAGTGGACGTCGTCGTTTTATTGGTTACACAACGAAGCGCTCGCAATTATATATACAAAAGCCTATGGGAGGGCGACAACTCACAACTATGGATGACTCAGAATTTGTATTCACCGCACATAAGCAAAAAAAAAATGAAGAAATAATGCAATATGAGATTATGAAGGGCACGGAAAAATCCGATCGCATGACTAATTACATACTTATTTAAGCTTACAAATCTATTGAAATCACGATTTGTAATAAATTTCTAGAAGTCGTTTCAGTATAGGAAACAAACAAGAAATAGAGGAGATTGTTAAATGTTGTTATGCATAACAGATTGAGCCATTTTGTTGATGTGAATGATTAAACTTCGTATGGTAGAATTCCTTTCGAAAGAAAAACATCACGCATATATATTGAAATAAATTTCAATGAAAGATAGTAGTTGCAAATTCTTATCTGTGAAGTACTTGGCAAATATTAGGATACATGAACTTATAAAACAGAAGATATATCAGAGTACAGTAAACATTAGATTTCTTGCACACGCTACAGTGCAAAATATAATCTTTTCATTCATCTGTTCCATTCAAAGAATCCAATCAATAAAAAAAAGGTTTTGCCGACCACTTTGATCATTCATCTTCTCACCACAACATCATCAATTTCATTTATTGAGAAAAATAATAAATCAACTATTTTGATAAGATTTATTTATTTTTTCGTTAAGAGCAATGAATGAAACAGACATTGTTTAAAGAAGAATATATGCACGCTTTGTTAACCACCTACAGACGAAGAAAAGGCAAACAAACAAATAAGATATATAGAAATATAAGCCATAATATTGAATATTGTCAAAAGAAAGTTCAATTGTTGCGAAGTGACTCTTTAAGCATGTTCTTCTTCTTCGCCTTCGATACCTTCGCCTTCTTCTGCAATAAAAATAAATCATATAGGTCTAACAAAAAAAACAACAACAAACACAGAAACTTACCTTCAGCTGTTGCATCTTGATATTGTTGATATTCACTTACTAAATCATTCAT